CAATCCATTCACCTCAGCCTCCCAAGGCGCAGGATTACAGGCTGAGCCACTGAGCCCGGCCATACATACTTTTTTTAAGAGATAGGGTCTTGCTCCATCACCCAGACTGAAATGCAGTGGTGTGATCATAGCTCACCGCAGCCTCAAACTCCTGGGCTCAAGTGGTCTTCTGCTTTAGCCTCCTAAGTAGCTAGGACTACGGGTATATACCATCATGCCCATTAATTTAAATTAATTTTCAAATTTTTTGTAGAGACAGTGTCTCACTATGTTGTCCAGACTGGTCTCGAGCTTCTGACCTCAAGACATCTTCCCATCTCAGCCTTCCAAGGTGCTGGGATTATAGGCATTAGCCACTGTACCTGACCTCTTCATAAATTCTTGTCTCCTGTGCCTTTCACTTCATTTACAAGATTAATCAGAACAGTATTTTCTAAAAAATATATATAATTGTGATGATACCAGAATACAAACAATAATGAAATGATAACTTTGATCAGAAAGGTGCAAATTAAGAACTAGGTAAATTATAGATGGGAAAAATAGGCTATAGGGAATGACTGTGTCTTAGATCTTTGAGCATTGTTTTGATTCTTAATTTTTTCCAAATGGCATTTTGATATCAATAACTTTTTTTGAGTCAGATCCTCACTCTCACCTAAACTGGAGTGCAGTGGCATGCTCACAATCACTGCAGCCTCAACCTGCTAGGCTTAGGAGATCCTTCAACTTCAGCCTTCCAAGTAGCTGGAATCACAGGCGCAAGCTACCACACCTGGCTAATTTTTTTACTTACGTAGAGATGAGGTCTTGCCAAGTTGTCCAGACTGGTCTCGAACCCCTGGGCTCAGGCAATTCTCTCACCTCTGCCTTCCAAAGTGCTGGGATTACAGGTATAATCTGACTGTACCCAGTTGGCAACTACTTACTAGATGTGTTTGCCTTATGGTTTTCAGGAAAAACACCAAACTATAGTCATTCTTGGAACAGTTAGTTGAATGTGTCTATTCTAATAAATTCTTGTTAAAAATTTTAGTAGGTAGCATTTGGTTGGTCAGTCTAAATTTTAGGAAATTACCTAAATAAAATAATAAAAAATACTGATTTAAAAAGAAACATGGTGGCCAGGCATGGTGGCTCATGCCTGTAGTCCTAGCACTTTGGGAAGCTAAGGTGGGAGGATCAGTTGAGTCCAGGAGTTTGTGACCAGCCTGGGCAACAGTGAGACCTCATCTCTACAAAAAAAACTTAAAAATTAGGTGGCTGAGGTGGTGCATGCCTGTAGTCCCAGTTACTCAGGAGGCTGAGGTGGGAGGATTATTTGACCCAAGAGGTCAAGACTGCAGTGATCCTGCCACTGCACTACAGCCTGGGTGACAGAGTGAGACCCCCTACTCAAAAAAGAAAGAAAAAAGACGTCAAAAGTTGATCTGTTCCAAATAATGCCTCCCTCAGATAAAATCCATCCTCCCTAAAGAATTCTATGTTCAATTTAGATATTTTTGTGAAAGGTATTTATCACAAAGAGGCACTGATATGATCTCTAGTATAATTCCACTAGATATATAGCAATGGTATTCTAATCTTAAGGTTTCATTTTCTGTTCTGTAGGAAATTGGAGAGTTATTACAAATAAGAGGTAGAGAGTTTGGTGTAACTACTGGAAGGAAAAGAAGATGTGGCTGGTTGGATCTCGTTTTGCTCAAATATGCTCATATGATCAATGGATTTACTGCGTGAGTATTCTTCACAAACATTTATTTCAGGATATAATAGATGATTTATGACCACAGGTTTAATTTTGTGGAATGCAAACTTCACTCTTTAGTCTCTAAATTGAAATTGTAGATACAGGTAGAAGTAGACCAAAATTTAAGGAAGGGTACACAGGGAGAGGGACCCCAAGTTGTCTTCCTAGACATCCATGGTTGAAAAGAATCATGTTACTCTTATATGTGTATAAGTGTAGCAGAAGACAAAATAGATGGGTGGGTGGATGGATTGATGGATGGATGGATAGAGCAAGCATAACATGTATACCAGAGGTACCAAAAAATGTATACACATTTTAAGTGATGTTATCTATGTGTTACTTTTTGAAGTTGTATTGAATTGCAGTAGCAATGTGTGGTGTGGCATTTATTCAAAAGATGGAGTTAATCAAATGAACGCTAACATCACCATGTGACAGGCAGGATAATCAAAGAAAATGGCGGTGGTATGGTTATCATTCAAGGAGCGCAAGATCATTTTTAAGTGAAAGCAAGACCATATTTGAAATTCAATAATATTGTGGAAGTACAGTGACAGTGGAGGTGTGAGTATGCCACAGAACCTCCAACACACCTTGTAATTGTACGCATTCATGATAAGTTTGAGGAGCATGATACTGTGTGTGATATGCACAAGACAAGATCCGGGAGGCCTCTCACAGCAACAAGTCCTACAGTAATTTGCCATAATCAGAAGTGTCTGGATGCTGATGGTAACTAATACTTTGAGCACTTCTTGCAGTTGCAGAAGTGAAACATGACTTGTATTCATCCTTTGTTATCATTATATATTGAGTATTACAATTTTAATACAGTTTTTTTCCTTTCTTAATATATGTATACATTTTTTGGCACCCTCTATACAGAGGGAAGGCAATGTAGCATCATGATTTAGCACATGGACTTAATGTCTGAGTTCCTGGATTCAAATCTCAATTCCATGCATTATGTTTGTGTAACTGGGTGACTTAATCATTCTGTGCCTCAGTTTCATCATTAAAATCTAGATAATAATATTGCCTACTTCATGACGTGCTTTGAAAGTCAAATGAGAATGTAGTAAAAACCTATAGCACACTGCCTGGCTCACTAAAAATGTTCAGTGAAAGTTGTTATTAACACATATACATAAATATTGTAAGCAAATGTATTTACAACTGTTAATTAGGCTGTGCTTCTTGCAAATTACAGAATAAAGGATTAAAAAAAAGTTCATGAGTAAGGATCCCAAATTTAGTATTTTATCTAATTTCCACAGATTTTCCCTTTAAAACCTGTTGTCTAGTCAGTTCATTGGAAAATTTTGGTGTGTCACGAAGAGGTCCTTGATGTGGCTTTTTCACTCTGACAATTTCTGACCAGAAGGGTGGAGGTGATGGTAACCAGAGTGAAGAACTGAGGGATGATGGAATGTGTATACATGTACATATATCTTGCATCATCCATGTCGAACAGTGAGTTCTGCTGTATTACAGCCACAGAGTGCATCCTTAACTTCAGGGAGCCCTCCCACAAATGTGTGTTATTGATCAGTTATAGAAAGCTAAGCCACAGTGTGTGGATCCATCAGTGAAAATTTGTTATAATTGCTAGAAAAGTAACTCAGTGTTTGGTTAGTTGAGTCTCTTTTTTATTATAAAGAATATACATCATTATATTGTCCTCTAGTGTTTTTTTGTGTGGCATGCTCTAAAATATAATCCTTAACCAGTTTTCAGAATTGCTTGGAACTTTTAGCTTTGCATGAATTTTTATTTACTCTACATCAATCAAGTTAGATATTAGGGCCTTAAAGAGTTTGCTGTTTTAACATCATCTTTTCTTCCAAAATTAGGTTGGCACTTACAAAGTTGGATATTTTGGACATGTTTACAGAAATCAAAGTTGGAGTTGCTTATAAGTTGGATGGTGAAATCATACCTCATTTCCCAGGTACTCTTGTTTTTAGGCTATATCTAAAGAGTATTATAAGGTGAATGTATTAGAACGATTTCATAAAACTCTTTTGTGTGTTTATGATGTACAGATAGCGACAGGCTTGGTGGACCTTTTGTAGATAGTACAAGTTTGTTCACTTATTATTAGCATTTGGTTCGTAACTGGTGTTCATTTGGGTGCTGGGTCACAACAAGCATGTACTGAAACTCAAAATAGGAAAGCAGAATCATGGCACCTCTGAGCCCAGCTGTGCTGTCCCTCAGTCTCATTTTCCCTATTCTGAAAATAATTTCCATGACGCTGTTTCTCCCTTTCCTTGGAAACAGTGGGGGTAAGAGAGAAGAGTCTCTTAGTACATTAATTCATTCTCTCCTTCAAGCCCATGAATGATTTTTTGTGACCTCTCTTCTGTGTCTAAAGTGGGTGGATATAGGGAGATTTTTCCACTTAAGGCAAGGTGTTTTTTCAGGCATATCTTTAGTTAAATGATTTCTTCAGTTACTCAGGAAGTTACATAAATGTTTCTAGCTTCCAGAAATAGGGACTTAATTTTGTAGTTGAGTCATCTGATGAGGATTAGGAATATGCCAAATGAAGTCATATTGACTAGCTTGATGAAACTTGAGTGAGCTGGTAGATTTTGTGACTTCCAAATGACAACCAGTTCTTAGGAATTGAGGACAACTGTTCTTAGAGATTAAACATGTGTTATTTTTCCTTTTCACTCACAGGAAAAAAGGTATCTATTGACATTGTAGGATAATATTCTGGTTGTTTCAACATGTTATGTCTTGGTTCTTAATTGTGTTTACAAAGCTATTTCGAGAGTTACAAACTCAAATTTCCCTGCAAACACTCTGAGTTGGGGATCTGGATCCAGAAAGTTTAATGGATCATGCTTTTAGCAACATCACTTGTGAAAGAAGCAGAGGACTAGTTGGAATGTGGTGCAGCCAGTCCCATAGGGAGCCAGAGACATGGGCCAGCCCTTTAGAGTTGTCCTAAATGGAGGCAAGTGTTCAGCACTTTGTACCTCCCGGCAACGGGCCAGCAAACGAGGGCTGTTCCTTTGGCCAAGGGCAGTTCTTGGGACAGGGACTGAGCTATGAATCATTGACAGGCAGTACTCCCTCCTAGCAGCAGGGGAGTGCTTGAAGTGAGTATTGGGTATTCTGGTTACTCAACACAATACAGTTCACTTTTATGCTAGTTGGATTTATTTTAACTGTAAAATAAGTTAACTCATCTGGGAATAGCTCCTGTGGGATTCTGGTGGGTGTCTTTCCCAGGAAAATTCACAAGAAGAAGCCCAGTGGTATAAGTTAGCCCCTACTGTGGCTATCACCATGAGAAAGTAGAAGCAAAAATCTCATTAAACTTTAAGCTAAGGATGTGTCCTATCATTGGATTTCAGGTGCCAAAACCTAGCAGACAAGGAATGGAGTCACTGGAAATGGTAGATTCTGATCACTGAGAGGAAGTAGGGCTATTGTTAGACAATGCAAATGGGGAAAGAAGTTTGGCACCCTGATGAAACTTGGGCACCTCTTAGTATTCCCCTGCCCTTCACTGGCACTGAATGGACTAACAAATCAGCCATGGCATGAGGAGGGCATGGCGAGCAGACTCAGACTCCTAAGGATGTCTATCTGGACCCCAGTTGATACTGTTTAATCCTCTCTTCTACTAATGATTTTAGATTCCCCTCAACCAATGACTGCATCTACTGGTCCAGGTGGCTTTCCTGGTGAAATGCATTTTTCAAAGGCTTATTTTCCCAGAGGCTTATTTGCAGAGCAGAGGCTGCTGCATCATCCTCAAGCAACAGGAAGCCTTTGCCTTAAATAGGAAGGAGTGGGATATTCTGCAGAGCCAGAGAGTTCAGCAAATCTGGGAATTCAGGATTTTAAAATGTGTCAACCAAAATGTCCCATACAAAGACTCAGGGTCTCACTTTTCCCAAACAGGGCTCTGGCCTCATAGCAGACTTGCTGGATTTGAGAGTTTAGCATTCTCTGGAGCTCTGCTATCTGTATGACTGAGTTTCTATCCTGAGCCTCATCTTATTCTGCTCTTTACTGTAGGAGTTGGAATTCTCTTTAGATGCTGCCAGGAAGACCCTCTGACTTTCACACTTTGCTTTACACTGATGAAAGCTTCTTTGTCTTTCATTGTCTTTCTCTAATTCATGAATGACATTCATCAAAAGGCATCCAATTATATTGTCCCATTTTGCTCATTTCTCAATGCCTTAGATACTTCCCCTGCCTACTTTCTACCAGTATGCCATCCTAGATTACCTCCCATGAAAGTTTTAGCAGTTGTGCTTCTGGAACATGTCAGAGACTATCCATACTCTACCTACCCCACTGACAGCCCTCATTGCCAGCCAACTGGCCAGTGGTCCTGCCTCTTAGTTCCCATTTTAGAGCCGTCTTCCTTAGACCGCTCGTGGTGCCAGCTGTCTTAGGTTGAATTCCCTAGGAAACAGACTCTGATGCAGTGATTTGCACAAAGGTGGTTTGTTCATAAGTGCTCTGAGCAACATCAGCAAGGAAGTGGGAAAAGAAGGGTTAGGTAGAGGAAGAAATGGAACTGCAATGTAGTAGTGTAAAAAGCCCTCAGGTGATCCCATGGTGAGCTCTAGAGGTGGAATAGCCCTTCAGCATTGTCCCATATTAAGGTAACTGGCCAGGTTTTTTGTAGTCCCTTTGACAAGTCATTGAATGTGGGCTTTTCCGGGGTGGCAGCTCCCTTCAGTGGAGGGCGAGTCCTGCAGAGACTCTGAACTGTGAGTAGTCAGCAGGCATAGCCCCCAGTGCGCCCAACCTTGAGGAGAGAAATATGGACAGTGTTGTGTAGCCTCCACAGTATGGTCTCTAGTAAAAATAAACTGTTGTTTAGTACATTTTCAGTTTCCATTAAGGGATAGAAAGAAAATGGTTTGGTGGATTAATGAGAATTTCAATCAAAGCAGTAGATTTCTCAGAAGAGAGCAGGTGTGTAAGCCTTCTTTCTGTGAGGTTGTTGTCATTATACAGATTCACAAGTAGATTCAAAAAGCTCTAAAAATGGAATGTTTTAAGTTTGAAACCAAAATTCATTTGACAGCAAACCCTGACTTGAACTGTTAGAATTATATCATCTTTATAGACTTATAGAAATGATCATATGTGCTGCTACTGCAGAAATTCTGTTTGAATTTAGAATACTATTCCAGTTGATAATATGCAGAATTTTACCTTTCTACAACCTGAAAAATTCCAAATTCCAAAACACATGTGGCTCCAAGAATTTTGCTAAGAGATTGTGAAACTGTGGTATATCAAAAAGTTGTTTGACACTAGGCAGTGTGTACCATGAACAATATACTCTTCAACTTTTAGCAAACCAGGAAGTCTTAAATAAAGTTGAAGTTCAATATAAGACTCTCCCAGGATGGAACACAGATATATCAAATGCCAGGACGTTTCAAGAACTACCTGTTAATGCACAAAATTACGTTCGATTTATTGAAGATGAGCTTCAGATTCCAGGTAAACATAAACACTTTACAAACAGCTATTTTACTTTAAATTTACCTATCTGCCTTTGAAATAGAATAAAGGAAAGATCATTATTATTTTGCAGAATGCTTATGATTTATGTAAATACCCCGGAAGATGTAAAGTAATAATTTTATTCCTTAGAGTAAACACAGTGTCTGTCTTTAAATAGAAGATAATAGATTGCCTCTTACCTTTTCTAATCCTGTCTTTCTGTTAAATTCTGTTAATTTGTTTTTTTAACCCTGTTACATTCATTCTCATTCCTTGCTCCCTCTTAATGACAAATCTTATATTTTCACCATTCCCCAAAATGGTTTGTGATTGTTTTATTTGTTAAACCACCCTTGAGAGTCACAGGAGTTTCTTTAATATACTTTAGGAAATAATAGGTACAGAAAACAGAAAATTTCACTAGGAAAAAATGAAGGAAAATAATGAATGAAAGTTTTTCCTTTTTTTTGAGTTGGAGTCTCACTCTGTCACCCAGACTAAAGTGGCTGCTCCTGGCCACTGCAGCCTGACCTCCTAGGCTCCAGCAATCCTTCCGCCTCAGCCTTCCAAGTAGCTGGAGCTTCAGGCGCGCGCTACCTTGCCCCAGTAATTTTTGATTTATTGTAGAGATGAGGTCTCGCCAAGTTGCCCAGGCAGGTCTCAAACCCGCGGTCTCAGGCAATCCACTCACCTT